ACTTAATAAATTATTTTTAGTAGGTATTTATTTATATCTTTGAATTAAATTATTTACTTAGTAAAACAAGGATTGATTTTAAAGTTTTTGGAATCATAACAAAAACAAAATAATTCTGATTCAAACTAACGTTGCTTTTCAAAACAATCCTCTTAATAGGTAATTATGTAACTAGTAACGAAAAGCCTTATATTAGATATCGCAACATAAAACGGCATTTCCTAACGTGTTGCATACAATATTTTTTCTAATTTTGACTAGATTATTTATAAAATTGTGTTTTGTTAAAAAATTACTGACATCTATGCAACTAATATTACTTTATTCTATTGTTAGTTGCATATGCATAACCTCATTCGTTTTATTGGCAAATAGAAAATCATATTAATTTATTCTCAACGACTTGTAGGGTGTTTATATTGCTTGTTATAGTAGTTTATGTTACAAGTAGGGGTGCCACCTGTCCTTTTTTCAAACAAATTGTCCTTGTGACTTTTTAAATCTTAAAATGTTCTTTATAAAAACCATATTTCAAACTTTTTAGATATTATTTTAATCGCAGCAACACCGGCTCGGCCTGTGCGGTCCTAGAAACAGAAACCCAGTTCCAATGCTATTTTTCCGAACGCACTTCACCATTCTACATGTGTGCAGCTGTCAAAAAAAGTTTGGTTATGTTCAATTTTCCAAATAAAACCAAATCAAACAAATTTTTTCGGCTTCAACCAGCGTTTAAAGATTATATTTAAAATATTAATTGATTGAAAATGAAAATAGTAGTAGTTTGTGCAACAAAAATTGAAATTATTTTTTACTTTTACATACCGTATCCTTATCTTCACCTCCACATTTAGTATTTTAGATTTAATACTCTTAATTAAATTATTTTCATATAGTTTAATTCAAATTTAAGATTTTCTTCACAATGTGGACTAAATAAAAATGCTATTTATTTATCGATTCTATACAAAGATAACTCATTTTCATGTATATTTAATATCAATAACTATAAAATGTATTGACAGTTTGACAGAATTGTTACGTATTAAAAATTTTGTAAATAATAGTAGTTGGTTGTTCAAAATATGAACTCTAATGGGTGGATTTCATTTTTTTACAGTGTTCTCACTACATAGAATGGATATGAAATAGATTCGTTTAATTGAACACAATAGCATACTTTTTCGTTTAGTAGTATGTGCGTAGATAAGCCAATATCCATGTGAGTGTAGGGAAACATTTTTTTTAAGTTTGAGCACATCGAAAAAGTTATTTTAAACTGGAAATATTTTTTCGTTAATTTCATTTTTATTAAGTGTACCTCCGTTAGTTCAGCATTTTCTGAGCTAACTTTTTCTGTAATGGCTACTAAATGTCGTGACAAAACTAATTTGCTCAGAGGTATTAATATATTTCTTCTACACCAACATGGATATTATTTATTCTAGGCACAGACTACAAACCGAAAAAGTATGTTATTCCATTCAACTGAACGAATATATTTCATATCAATTCTACCTAGTAAGAACACTGCACAAATATGAAATCAACCAATCAGAGTTCATATTTTGGTCACCCAGCTATCTAATTTTTTTTTTTTAATTTAAATAAGTTACAATTTTCTCAAACTAATTTTCATTAAATATTTGTTAGTTATTGAGATTAAATATACTTTAAAATGAGTTATTCTTGAGTAGAATCGATAAATAATAGTATTTCTATTTTTATTTCGTCTATATTTACAAATAAATAATACATTTTAATAAAACTATAATAAATCATTTTAATTATGACTAAAACGGTAGTTGTGCCGTTAAAGCTGAGGGTAGTGCATTTACCTGTCATGCGAAATATCTTGGGTTCAAATCTAGGATTGAAGACTACGGCGTCAGGCTCAAACTTTGTCTTCGTGCAATGCTACTCTTGTTTCACAAAGTACTATTAATTTTTAAGAGAATTGTTAGGAATTTTACTCCATAAAAAACAACAAGGCTGCTTTGAAAGCTGCAAAATCAAACAGAAAATACTCTTTTAAATTGAATAATCCCTAGACAAATGGTTCTGCTTGTGCGTAGATACGTTGGATGCAGAGGACACACAAGCGGAACCATACCTTAAAGGATTTTTTAGTTATGTTTATGTTGTTTATTTATTTATTTTATGTATTCATTTATGATGTAACTACCTAATTAAGATATTATTGTTCAACATTGTTATTAAAATGTAAAAAAAAAATGCCTGCAGTGCATTTTTAGCAGTTTACCGTGATGATCTGAGCAACCGTCCTACTAGCATTCATAAAGTTGAACTAAGATTTTTTGAAATGTCATTTATTTACTTTTCAAAAAGGTGGCAACTCTAGTTACAAGGACGAAAAGTTGAGTTTTTCGGGCGACTATGAGAAGCTGGCAGCTCGTAGGAGTCGACGACTGGCTGTTGCCCTGTTGCCATTTTATTAACTTATATGCCTAACACGAAAAAATAAGTACTCTATATTACTAGACCCATCGTCCAAATAAACATTATTTTGGTACAAAGGGAAAATAGTGTCCAGCATTCTCATTGGTCGATTTACTTGACATATCAAATTTTCCAACATTGCCAGAAATGTCATTTTGTTTTGGTTTTCATCAATCTAGATATTATTTTTGCAGTTTATAAGTGATTTTATTAATGTCTTATTAAATTGTTTGTATTTTTTATCTATATTAATACAAATTTAAACAATGTTGAGGGACTCTGAAGTTTGTAAATATAAATATGAAAAGGCATCAATGAATTAAGAAATGACAATTTACATTTTTTGTCCGATATTTTGAATTTCCCTGTAGATATCAAAGGTTTCTTGGTACCATTTTAATGAGCTTTGTCTAATTTAACAAACTTTCTATCTGTTAGCGTCAAAGACTCGGCAAGCTGGAGCCATTCGACAGCTCAATGGTATCCAAAGGCAAGCATGCCTGAGTACCACGGGAGCTATGAGAACGACTCCAACAGCAGCTATAGAAGTCATGCTAAACCTAACATCACTACATATATTCATTCAAGGCGAAGCCAGGTCTGTCACATACAGACTGCACAAAGGTTCATCACCCATAAGCAGCTTGCATGGACGCGACTATAGCGAGCTATATAAAGAATTGGAGAACGACCAAATAATGGGAATGCCTTCAGACGAAATGATCCCAAAGTATAGCTTTCAAAAGCAATATAAAGTAAGTATACCAGACAGGGAAGCGTGGACGGGAGGACCTCCTATTCATGCAGATTTCACCTGGTATACAGACGGCTCCAAAACCCATGAAGGTTCAGGAGTAGGTATACATAGTACCAAGCTAAAGACAGGAATCTCACTGAGCTTAGGTAAACATGCTACAGTATTCCAGGCAGAAATAGCAGCAATACATTACTGCGCAAAAGAAGTATTAAGACAGAAGGTAAATGGAAAAACCATTGTCATATACTCAGACAGTCAAGCGACGTTAAAAGCACTCAGTTCCATGCAAGTACAGTACACTCAAAGCTTGTGTGGGACTGTTTGGAAGCCCTAACAGAGCTGGGTAGTCAAAACAGACTAACCTTAGCCTGGGTACCAGGCCACAGGGGACACAAGGGCAATGAAGAGGCTGATTTACTAGCCCGAGAAGGAGCCTCAAATGCTCTTATTGGCCCAGAACCCTTCTGTGGTGTAACAAAAACAACTATCAGAACATGCACAAAGCAGTGGATGTTTAAAAAATCTCAGAAGTGGTGGAAAAACTCACCAGGACAGAGACAGGCCAAAAAGTTCTCAAAAGGACCATCGTCTAAACTCACCGAGCATCTACTAAGCCTTAATAGGAAAAATACTAGAATAGGTCTATTAACAGGGCATTGTAGGCTTAACAAACATATGTACAATATCGGTCTGAGAGAAGAGGCCTTGTGCCGATTCTGTCAAGAAGAGGAGGAAACGGCAGAACACGTATTGTGCTACTGCGAAGGTCTAGTAAGACTGAGATTCCTTACACTTGGAGAAGAAAAACCAAGGGCAACTAGCTATACCGGAGAACTACTTTCCAGTCTAAGGAGTCTACTACAAAAGACCGAATTAGACAAGGTACTCTAAACAATGATTAAAGGATATCCACAATAGATCTGAAAAGGTCGAGGTGGAGGAGACCACATGGCCCATAGTCCTAATTAAATCTTAATATTAATCTTAATCTGTTAGCGTTCAAGAAATATCAATACTGTCCCTATGAAATAGTAGGGACAGTGTATAAGTGTATGTGCTGGACATATGGCATTCAACTGTAGAATGTGCCAGCAAGAATAACATTGAAATAATACAGGGCTTCCAAAATAAAGTACTGAGGAACATAGTTAATCCTTCTTGGTATTTTAGAAACGGTGATAAAACGTGAAGATGGACCATCAAAATGTTTTCAAAGCGTCACGAACTACCACGTTAATGTCGAATCCAACTAGCTCCTCGATAACACGAATCTGAAAAGAAGACTCAAAAGGGATATCTCATTATTGTTATAATTGTTTAGTAGTTTTCAATTTTTCAATCATGGTAATTTATAATTACTCATTGATTATCTATGATTAGATTGTTACTATAAAGAAGTATTCTCTAATTATAAATTAAATAAAAGTAAACAAAATTTGTGACAATGTGGGATATAGCCCAATAAAGGAAGAAGAAGAAATTTGTGAAAAATGATAACTTGTTCTAGTTAAAAGTCTCGATTCTTGCTAGAAGAGTCATTTAGTTCATTGTTAAAGTAGTGTTTTACTTAATAGATATTTCAACTTTTGGCTTACTTCTACACGTTACGATTTTGAAGCTCTGAAATCCCTACCTTCTTCTCAGAATGCTTTTCATCGTATAACACTAACTACGTCCATAAAAACACGAAACATGATCATATCCTTTACAAATATCGAAATTATTTTTATATGCCCAATTTTTAAAAGACAAATGACTAATAATTAATATGTTTTTGTTTCAGAAATTTCTCAGAAATAGCGTTAGCGTTAACGTATGCTGCTGGAATAGCTGTATATGTTGTATTTATATCAGAATCGATGCAGAAGGTACGTAATATCTCCTTAGTATAATACATGGTATAAATGGCTTTAAGGTTAGTTTAACTAGATGATCCAAGCAAGTTCCAAACTTTTCAAACAAGCCCAATTTAAACATATTTTGACTTTATTAGTAGCAAGTTCGGATCTTGTTGTTTGGAATACCTGTTGGAACAAATCTTAAAATACAAAATTTTTGGGTGGGCAGTAGTTAACTACTTTTTTAGGAAAAGCAATGGTATTCAAACTGCTTTTGGTTAAAAAGTAGTTGTTCTCGATTTCATCTCTTCAAAATACTTCAAATAGTAGTTAAAAAAGTAGTTAACTACCTAATATTACCTATTTTGTTTACTACCAATTATCCTGAGGGTTCTTTAGACTGGATAGAAACCACGATGATAGCAGGAACTTCTGAGGAGTAAAAAAAACTATATAAATTGTAATATTTCAGCTCCTCTCAGAATATTTCTCCTCAGTTAGTGGAGATGAATGGAGTCTCTATTTCAAGTTAATAATACTTGGACCTTTAATACTCTTCTGTCAAGTCAGGGAATTGAAGCACTTGGTTCCATTTTCTTTCGTAGCAAATATAACGATGTCTGTGGCATTCGCTATTACTCTGTATTATACTTTTTCCAAAATTCCTGATGTGGATATATCTGAGAGACAGATGTACACTGATTGGAGTGGAATTCCGTCATTCTTCAGTACCGCCATTTTTGCCATGGAAGGTAAGTAATTTTTTTTCATTTTGTTATTGTTTCCGATCTCGACAAATTTTCTAATAAGCTTAATTTGATGATACATATTTTTGATTACGTATTTAACTTTTATACTTTGTTAATTAATTGGCGCCATTTTAATACTATGCTGCAGGATTATTGTACAAACACATAAATACATAGTATCGTAGTGTAATTACACAACTTAAAGAAGCCGCAATTACATGTCTGGAATCATCCCATCACTTTCATTAAAAAGCATTTTGGTTGTAATTAAAAACCTAATGAATAATTTTATTGATTTTAGAATAGTGTAAAAATTTTGTATTGGTATAATTTTAATTTTATTTAATCCATCTTAAATGGTATTTAATTATATTTTGGAATAACTAAATTTAATTAACTTAAATTACTTCTAAATATCGTTTTAAAGACCTCCACGTTACCCTAAATATGGAAAGTATCCAGTGTATCGTTTTTACAATAATAGTGAAAGTTCAGACCAGTATCAATTATTTTTAATTTTTGTAAATTTTTCGAGATTCTTTTGCATAATCGTCTCTTATCATCATATTAGTAAAAGGACATCTGCATCGGACATGTTAAAGGTCGTTCAACAAATACAAAGGAATTAGTGCAATTCTTAATAAACAATTACACTTCATCATGAAATACTTGCAAGGAAATAATTAAAGCTTTATTAAATTTGTTCCCATCTTTTAAACAATTTATAATGTTGAATGGATTAAAATCCGTTGAGATCTTAGCTATTTTCGGAATCCCTCAAGGTAGCAAGCTGGTACCTTTATTATTTAATATTTTTATTAATGACATGGTAGAAATTATTGATGAACATTATCTACTTTACGTTGAAAACTAAGTAAAATGAATAAAATAACCGAAATTCGTTAAAAAAATTAGTCAAACCAAACCAAAGACAAAAGCAAAGAAAACACCAAGAAAATATATCGAGAACAAAGGTATTGAATTAAATGTGGGAAAATGTCAAAATATTCGGTTCCATCATTCTCAACAGCCCACTATATTTGACTATAAGTAAAATCAATGATTACCTTTGAAAACAAATTAAAGATCTTGGCGTTATTTTTGTTACACAACCCTTAGTTTTAAAAGAATAACCCTTCTACAACACTGATGTAACTGCTATTAAATCTCTTTATTGTACCTTAGTTAGTGTTCATTTTCATCATTATTTTTTTATGGTCCCCACATTTTTTAACCAAAAAATTTTATTTTTTAATGACATTTTTATATTACAGGTATTGGTACTATTATGCCTGTAGAAAACTCCATGGTAACCCCTCAATTTCTGGGATGCCCAGGTGTTTTAAATATGGGTATGTTAATTGTCGTCTCGTTCTTTGCAACCATGGGATCATTTGGATATTATGCTTTTGGAGGCGATACGAAGGCAACCATTACTCAGAATCTTCCATCAGATGAAATGTAAGTATAAAAGAATAACAAATTGCTAAATGAAGTAGCCTAACAATACGATATATTACTGTGACGTAATTTGTGTTCCAATAGAAAATTACTTTTAACAAAAACAAAGTTTAAAAGCATTTGAAACTAAATAATTTTTCTACGATCACTATCCAAAGTAGGCTTTTGCGCTTCGAAATTCAACCGCAAAGTTGAAGTTTTCTGCGAACTGACATTAAGTGACAGCTTTGTCGATCGCCGAGCGGAAAACTTGACAGCTTTGTCGCTCGCCTAATTTAAATTAGATATAATATTTTGAATATCAACGCCTTTTTTCATGAATAACGTAGATATAGGCAACACATTATACACTATTTATGACAAATTTTTAGTTTTTATATTAATTTCTTAAAATAATGTGATCGTAGAAAAAATCTTGTGTGCATTTTAAGCGAAAAGTTTATTGCCGCTTTCGACAAATTGCCGCGTTCCGCTACGCATCACGCGGCAACTTTTTGACTCAGGCGGCAAATTATAGTTATTAAATATTTAAATGGATAAATAGAATCTTGAAAATAAGAGAAATAAAATGTTAATAATAAAATACCAGGAAATCAAATTACGTCATTACTAATATAATTATATAGTAAGTGACTTCATTATCAAGTATAAATTCGATCAAGGTGGTTACAATAAAAACAATGAATGTTATAAAAAAAGCGTTTAAAATGAAAAAAATTCTTATTTAAAATAAGTGGTATTTTACGCGAGCAAAATTCGGTGATCAAGAGCAAGGGAGGCTCCTCGGAGGAGGGCATTGCCATTAGCCATTCCCTTTTTAGCATAATTTTTTAAATAAAAGGTTCTTGGATTGTATAAATGTTCATGTCGAGTATGGGAGCCATTACCCCCCTAGAATGGCTAATGGCAATGATCCCCTCAAAAATTTGGCCTGGAGCCGGCATGGAGCAGGCCTTGCCGTAAGCTATCGCAAAATAATGAATAGTGCTAGTACCAGTACAAGTGTACTTATATTCACCGCAAATACCTTAAGTGAGATTAGATCTAACTGAGGTAATCCTATCCCACGAAAATAGGGCGAGATGAAAAAATTCGTGGAATAAAGTATATGATGAAAAGAATTGCCAAAAGTAGAAAATTTGCGAAATGCAACTCCAAATAGAAAAAAAAATACAAAACTTCTCAAAGATGCAATAGAAACATACATCATTTAAAATAAGTCAGGCAACAAATCCCACAGCTTCAATGGAAGAATTAAAGCCAGACCAGTACTTCACTGATGAAAGATTTAGCAAAGGAGACTGAGTGGATAAGGACAAAAAATAGCAAAAAGCGAAAATAGATACATCTCGCCCCCCACCGCAATAAAGTCCAACAAACACAGCAAAAGAACAACCAAAAATAAATAAACCTCAACAATAATTATTGACGGAATCAAAAGCTTCAGTGATCTACGAACACTCATAGCTCAAGCAATGGATACTTTTGAAATAAGAACACTAAATGGTAAAATAATAATTAAAACGATGTTGCAGTCAATCTTGGAGAGTGCTATAAACTTCTCGAAAAGACACTAACAGATAAAGAATATTCGTGGCATTCTTTTGAGAACAAACAGAATCGGCCAATAAAAATAATGGCCATAAAACTACATCGTATCACTCTTGTATTCCTAAACAAATAGTTACAGAACTAAGGAAGAAAGGATATACAATATTAGAAGCAACCAAAAAAACTAAAATATAAAATAAAACAGCCTCTTGCTGTCATTTAGATGCAATGAAGATCTCAATAGGACACTGGGAGAATAGAAATCCAGATGCGTCAAATGCACAGGAGAGCACATTACAGCTAAATCAAGAAATGCTCTTCCTAAATGTGTATACCGTGGAGAAAATCATTCAGCAAATTATTGAGGATGCAAGATAACAAGACAAATGCAAAAAATCAAAAAGAAACAAACAAAGAAAACTAGTTTGTCTAAGCAACCACATTTCATTTCAACCCACCTTAAATTCCCAAAAGAAAATTGATGAACAACAGCAAGCTCCACAGAAAAAGACAAACAGATACATAACTGGGAAAACCGAAAAACAGCATTGAACAGCAACCAAAATAAACTAATTTATCCACTTACGCCATAACCTAACAAATTTTTGAGAAACAGCAAAATCGATGAACGAATATGAAAACTTCAATATCGATTCCTAAAGTTAGAAATGACTAATAAAATGTTAGAATACAATGCTAATGTACTGCTACAGCACCAATAAGAACTGCAACCATCCTAGACCTAGAACTAATAGATGTGTGTCTTTATATGAAAGACATTTCACTAAAGAGACCTATATCAAATTTAAAGGATACATTATAACATCCTTCTCCTAGCTTAGTCAATAAACAAACATATTGGAAAAGCTTCAAAATATAACTTGAAACAAGATACATTTTTTTAACTACCTGAGTGAACTAATAACGAAAGCACAGAATATTTACTATGGAAAGCTACTAAGAGAATTATTAAAATCAAAACACACCTACTAGAAATGCCTGTAGATTTGCAGAGCATTTATAAATGATATTTTAGTCAAATGGTGTAGACTGGATTAAACTAATTACAGAAAATATCATCATCATTGAAAGCCTTCCAGAATGTTCCAGACTCAGGAAAACTCTACAGACAGATAAGCAAGGATACATGGGATCTATGATAAATCAACAATGAGAACTCATAAACACAGGCTTTAGAGTTATTACTAAAGTCGCTCTTCCCTGGATGTGAGATTATCTTTGACCAAGAGAACAGGAGTATCAAGGCATTAATTCCTAGGGTCTCAAAAACAAATTGGTCTCTTGCAAACATAATAGTGAACAGAACAAAACTTGTATGGACGACAAATTTCTTTCAACTATACGAGACAGCTAGACCTGATGGTATAATCCTGGCACGTTTACAGAAGGGCCAGGAAGTACTGGAGGGACCACTGTGTAAACAATTCCGAGCTAGCATAGCCCTTGGATATGTTTCACAAAGCTGGAGGTCTGGAACAGTTCTTTTCATTCCCATACCTGAGAAAGCCTCTTACGCGAAGACCAAATCTTTCAGACCAATCAGCCTAACATAATTTCTCCTAAAACTCTTGGAGAAATTAATCGATAGATATATATGGGAAGATGTTCTACGGGATAACCCGATACATTGATACTTGTTTACCTACCAATCTGGAAAGTCTTGCAATGTAGCCATACATAGGCTAACTCAAAAGGCTGAACAAGCATTGGAAAGCAAAGAAATAGCACTAGGAGTTTTCCTAGATATAGAAGGAGCTTTATATAAATACTGGGATCTATGCATAGGGCATGATGCAGTGGGTTGAGCACATGCTTAATCATAGAACCAGTACATTTTCTCTTTAACACAACAAGAGAGGTCTATTAATAAGTGATGACGGAAAGTAGACCTTGGCGGTTGATGACCTTTTATGGTAGTTAGAGAGAGAAAACTTATACACGCAAACATTTGAAGACGACATAAGCATCGTAGTAAACGGTAAATTTTGGGCTCTTATTTCCGAAAGGATCCAGCAGGCACTAAATATCGTCGAAAGATGGTATTCACAAACCCGACGGAAACCTCTATTGTTGCATTCACAAGAAAAAGGAACCTTTAAGGAATGAAGTAGCTTTATATTTGGGGACATCATGTGTAAATGGTAAAGAAGGTTAAATAGCTAGTCAGGCAGCAAGTGTTTTAAAGACCAGTTATCCGCAAATACTTTACGCTATTTTTTTTTATTGGTATACTTTGAAATCCTAAATATTGGTATCATTTCTACAAAAAAATGGAAATAAGAACTAATAACTGAAAATGGTTGAATTTGTGATGTAACATCAGTATACTTCGTTGTCATGAAAATGAGACAAACAAAAATGTATTTTCAATCTGTCACGTAAGATTAATTATCGCAACATTTGTTATTGTTTAAAATGAGTTCAAATATTGAGTATTTAAATAATAAAGCAGAATCGCGCTTAATACCACAAAAATCCGAAGCGGTTTATAAAAAAGAATACGATAAATTCAACACGTGGATGGAAGAGCAAATGGTTACACATATAGATGAACGAGTTGTTCTCGCTTATCTCCAGAAAATGTCGGAACAGTATGAAGTATCGACTATGTGGACTATCCATTCAAAATTACAAAGTATGTTGAGGATAAACAAAGGGGTCGATATAAAATCGTTCGTCAAAGTGCATGCATTCATGAGGGCAATTAGCAAAACTGAGGTAGTCAAGAAGGCATATGTATTCGAGGAAGACGATTTGCGGAAGATCAATATTTAAAAAGTTGGTATTTATACATCACGTTTCTCGGGTTGTTGATGTTGCCATGGTAACTTTAAAACGCGCGTTTTTTTAAAGTTCGTTTTAAACACGCTGAGGCGTACTTTAAATAAGTAAAATAGGGCACCACTAAAAAAAAAATGTTAATCATTCTTTTTTTATTTTTTATCGTTTTTAATAAATTATATCGAATATGTCCAATGTATTTCTTTTTTGTTTGCAGATTAGCGCAAGTAGTGCAAGCATCCATCTCTTTAGCAGTGTTCCTAACCTTCATGTTACAATTCTACGTTCCTACCGATATAGTCTGGAGGAAAATAAAGCCACACGTCTCCAAAGAAAGACAAAACCTCGCTCAGATCCTAACTAGAGCAGCTTTGGTAGCATTTATAGTAGCAATAGCAGCTGCAGCCGGTCATCATCTCGACGCTCTCATAGACTTGGCCGGATCCATATTCCTTTCTACGCTTGGATTTCTCATACCTGCCATCCTCGATATTATCATTAATTGGCATGAATGGGGTCGATTCAACTATATTTTAGTGAAAAATGTACTTATTATTATCTTTTCTTTGTTCGGTCTCGTATCGGGTTCCTATTATGCTATGCTAGAATTTACGAAGTGATGCAAAATATAAAAAGGAATTTATTTATTTTTTTACTAGCTTATTATTTATGTAGATAGTTTTTATTTATTGAAATTATTACTCGAAGTAGGAGATAAAGAGTATTTTGTTAGACATTTACCAGTGCTAACTTTTTTTGAGATTATACAGTGTGTCTATATATTGGTATCTCGCTTAATATAAGAGATAGAAGGTAAGTCAATGGAGGAATATTTAAGATAATTTGATACTAATCTTCAATAAGTTTTCAAAATTAATAAAAATTATGTAGTTTTTGAGGTATTTAAAAAAAAACTAAAAATATCAATTATTTTTTTAATAGTTAATTAATCGTTAATTTAACATATTACATTGTTACATTCTAAAGACACTTTTTGTAAAAAAGTTATAAATTGTCCTTTTTTCGAGTTACTTTGAGGTTCATTATGCCTTATGACGGACATTTTGTGTTTTACATAACTTTATTTGCTCTCTAAATTACCCATGTCAGGACATTTTTCAAGTTTTTTCAGGGTTGCGTACGCATGGTCATAGTAAGACAGATAGTGATAGATACCAAAGCATCACGTCATCAATAGTATTGGGAAAAGAAATTATAGAAGTAGAGAATAAGTAAACAATAATTTATAAAGATATTGAGAATAATAATTAAAAAAAAAAAAAACGGAATAAAAATAAATAAATAAAAATACAAAAAAAAAGAAATTAACCAAATCTTCGAATAGATAAAATGTGAATTCTTTTTATACTTATTTTGTCATTTTCAGTATATGTTAAAAATAAGTATATGATACCAAAAATTGAAACGTCTTTATTTATTATTTGCTAATAGTGGTATTACGGGTCATTTTTCAGACGTAAATAGAAATTTTGAACAAAATTTTGTTAATTATCTTTTATTAATGTACCTACACTCATTATACCAACACCATTTTCAGAATTTACTTATTTTATTCATGGAACCTTAAAATTTTAAAGATTCTACAATGTGGCACATAGTTTAAAATGTAATTTATAGAGAAATAAAATTATGTAAGAATCGAACATGGCCGCAATAAGAAATAAAAAAGATATGGCAGGTAACTCGAAAACAAAAAACAATTGAGATTTTTTCTTTAAAAATATTTTCGTTTAAAAAGTCTTAAGAATGTATAAGAGTTAGTCAACTTAATGGTCAAGCCACCATTAAAAAAAAATGAAAATCTGCCATTTTTAGTTTTTTTTTTTTTAAATAACTCATTTATTTAACCTACCTTCTATCTATTATATTAAGCGATAGAGACTTGAGTTTAGATACCATTTTTTTTCTCCATATACAAAAAGCCGCGAGAATTAAAAATTATATTTTTTGCGGGTAGCTCAATATTTATTTTAAAAATTTATTTACATTTCTTTTTTTTAATTTGTTTGATCAATTTTTATTTATTGTAAACATTGAGAAAATATTTGAACGTACTCGAAACAATATATTTTTATGCAATTATATTGTTTATTTATATAAATTCTCGAGCGTATTAATTTATTTTCTTTATTTATAAAACCGTAAATACTGATTTTTGATAACTAAAACATTCCTCGTTTGTGATGTCTTCTTAAATCCGGCTACCTCACTCGTTACTTTTAATTAAAGAAAATGACAGATTTTTAATTTGAATAATTTCCCTAACAATATACTACTATAGTATTGCAACTACTAATCATCGAATATAGCAGGGGTAGAAGTTGGAAAGGCTTTTGCCAGTTCTCCAACTTTACACACATAAATTGACAGGTTTGTGACGTATCTAACCGAAGTGGTCGGATACATTGGCGTGCAAAATTATTTTATAGATAACAATTTCGAGTAAATAGTTTAATAAATTGTGAATAGCTGTTGAAATTTTGTAAAATTATAATTTGAATATTATAATACATGTTCAATAATTATTTATAGTCCATAAATACATGCGATGGTCCGCTTACGCCGGTAACAATTTAAAATTACTTATTCTATGAAACGACACTGCGAACACTACTGCGAAATTCCCGAAGCCGTCCGACGTGGTTTGACTTTTTCCCCCTCTCAACCTACCAAAATCCATTCCAACTTCTATTTGTGCTATAGAAGCCAATGTATAGATAGACCCTACTACTCATTTTTACTAGTTTTACTTATTTTTGTTCTCTTAGACAAATAGTGGTGAAAGAATTCTTCTACCATTAGGCAAACAGTACTCCAAAAATGCGGCATTCCTTCCGATAGCGTTTACCTTCTCTAGTATTCATCAATAAATCTAAACCTTGATCAATTTTATCTGATACCTAAACCTCTATGACGTTACTCCTCATATCCAATCTGGTTTAAAGATGGTACATAGTATCTAAACAAATATCTAAACAGATATTTTACCATTGGATTTGTATAGCTTGTTCATAGGTATACCGTATAAACGGTTTATCTATGAACAAGCTAGAAAATATAAACTGCTGGACAAAATTAACGCAACATCATAAATTTGCCACATTTTTTATGCTATTTTTTTTTAATTTACGATCCGATTTGAATGATTTTTTTGCATTATAGGTTGGTTCCTTGACAATGACTTTTTTTCCGAAAATTCGTATCACCCTGTGGAGTATACTAGCAACCGAAACATATAGCAGTTGACATTAGACGGTAGTTTCATCTTTCGATAATATTTTATTTTTTGGTTTAGTTCATTGTCTCTATTATTACAGGAGATACGCCGTTTTATAGCATAACATGTTTTATTAGACTTTATTATTTAAAACATTCATTGTTAAATGGATCTTTTCTGACATTTCAAGTGATGTGTCAACAGATCTTTTAAAGTTACAGAGGTCAAATAAAATTCGCCATACTGATAAAAACTGTTCAGAAACTGCTTTTTAAACGTTCGTTTCGTGTGCCCAGTTACCCGACGAATATTTTAATCTTGAAAAATGAATCGTCCAAAAAATTTATCGGCAAAAGCAGTGAAAGACTTAACTTTGGTGGATAAAGGCTATTCGATGTGTCATGTTGCTAATGTGATAGGAAGACATCGTTCGACTGGTAAGTCGTATGGTTGAACGATTTAACGAGACAGGATCTTACTCTTGAAGGTCAGGACAAGGACGAAAACGATGTACCGATCCAAGGGATGAACGTTTTATTGAGCAAACTGTTATAAGAAACAGGAAGAGGAAGAGCTTAGAACTGCTCGCCATCATACAATATCGTCTCGAACAATCAGGAGAACATTATTTTATTGTATTTGATTTTTATTCTTCTCATGTTTCACTCGTTTCCAAAAAAAATTGTGTTTGATAAACTCAATTATAATCTTAATTTTACTTTATTAAATAAAGTAACTCATTAATTTAGTTTTCATTTATCAAAGCGAGCAGAAATTATACAGTTATACAGATAACAAATAGTGTATTCGATATTGGCACATCGTTTGAAATGTCAGAAAAAGTCCACAGCCTACTTGAAAACATTTAACAATGAATGTTTTGAATAATAAAGTCTATTGAAACATGTTACATTATAAAACGGCGTATCTCCTGGAATAACAGAGATAATGAAGTAAACCAAAGAAGAAAATGTTGACGAAAGATGGACCTACCGTCTAATGTCAACTGCTATATGTTTCGGTTGCTAGTATACTCCACAGGGTGATACGAATTTTCGGCAAAAAACATTACAACAGAGGTTTAAGATCACCGCAATTGAGGTGATCTTAAACCTCGCCCCTCTACATTTGATGATAGAGAATTTGGCAAAAAGGACACGATATAGAATGATCAGGAACGGAGTAACCAAACGAAAGTTTACTTGCTTCAGATCTAAAGATACCTGAGACATGCTTCAGGATGAAATGCCAAAGAAGTACAGTTTTGTGAAAAACTTCAAAACCACAAAGCTGGGCTGCAAGAAAGAATGGAGCCAAGAATCCATCGCGTTTGCAACCGAAAAACGTGCTATTCAGTGGTATACGGAAGGTTCCAAAATCATAGAAGGAACTGGAATAGAAGTATATTGGCCGAGAACCAAGCACTCCGAAAGCTTGGGAAAATACCCAAGCATCTTCCAGGCGAAAATTCACGCCATCGAGAAGTGTATCCAGTTTAACATCGAGAGAAACTATCATAGACAAGAGATTATCATCATGTCCGATAGTCAAGCAGCCATCAAAGCGCTGAACTCTTACGTAATCAGCTCACAAATGGTTTGGAGATGCCTAGAACGATTGAATGAGCTAGGCGAGAAAAATAGAGTTACTCTTACTTGGGTTCCGGGACATAACGGGGTATAGGGTAACGAGATTGCAAATAGTCTTGCAAGGAAAGGGGCTCAAATACCCTTTGTAGGACCTGAGCCGTTCTGCGGTATCAGCAGTAACATAATATTAAGAGAGATTAAAAAGAATTGGGCAGTAGAAGAACCGATAATTGGAACAATATCTTGGGCTAAGACCGGCCAAGATACTTCTGGGTAAATATAACCAGAAAAGATCGGAAGCCTGCATCTGCCTAAGCAAGAACAGGCTACGCATTGTAACAGGGATCCTCACCGGGCATTGCCGAACTAAAAGGACACCCAAGTAAACTGAGAGTAGTAGAGGATAGTGAGTGCAGATTCTGTGAGGAGGACGACGAAACCTCAATTCACTCCAGAATCCAAGGGCACTATATCTAGGAGGATATCAAATAGAAGAATTTACCTAACTTGAAGCCACTTCAAGTCCTACACTTCTTTGAGAAAATAGGATTGGAAGGGTCGTTATAGGCATTGAGACATTTCCTTGGTGCATTGGCGATGGAAGGAGACACAATATATCTTTTAGGTCGCAGTGTATTCCCAACATAACGTAACATCATAAACAGCGAAAATTATAACATTTTCAAGGAACCTATAATGCAATCATTCAAATCGGATTATAAATTCAAAAAAAAAATAGCATCAAAAATGTGGTAAATTTATAATGTTGTGTTAATTTTGTCCAGGAGATTTTAACTGAAATTATCTTCAACTAGTGTTGTTACGTACTACTATAATGGTTAACATGGTCTTTTCTAAAAAACCTACCTCTGAATTTCTTGATGCGTCCTGATTTAATATTTTATAAATTCGTTGCTCTTTGTCAGGCAATTTTGAATCTCAAATGATGAACTTTGTCAGGAAATTTTTCTATAAAAAATCTCTATATCATTTTATAACTCAAACCAACCAAAAAGTATATGCCCCCTCATCAAAATCCTGGATCCGCCACTGCTACAAAGCCTTGCTTATTAAAAAAGAAATTAAAAACCATTTAAATTATTGAATTATATGTACTTGTAACAAAAATAATTTAAAATCTGACATTTTCTTTTATTAGATTTTTTCTTGATTTTTAAAATATCTTCCAGTTATTCTCTATGAACTAAATATATTTAAAATGTGTTAATGATAGTTATTGTGAAAAAGATTATCAGTATTATTTATTAAGTAATTAGGTTAGGTTCCTAAATGTTCCTAAAATAAGTACAGGATGTCTTATAAATATACCGACAAACAACAAACTTTGAGGGATGTTAGGGTACATCAAAATAAATATTTTTTATTCAGTAAACATGTGTCCGAAAACAACAAAAAATAC